AGTGCCAAACTACAACCCAAAACCCACTTATTCATTGCAAAGCGTCAGTGTTGCAATTACACCTGCATACTGTGGTTCTAGTTTAGAAGAAAAGCAACTCATACATTAACATCTTTTGTCTTAAGAGAAAAATGCAGTAGCATGAGTGCCATAGGTTCACCACCACTTTTCCAGGATTTCCCAAACCCATGTTGTGTTTGGTAGGTAGGTAGAGGACACACCTTACTCATGGAAAACTATTATGCTTATGTATGTGGTTTATTAAAGAGAAAGAATACAGATCACAGATCAGCCAAAGGCAGAAAGCACACAGCACCGGCCTGGGAAAGTTCCAGAAGAGAAGCTTCCCTTGCCTTGGGGTTGTGTCACTCTCCTGGGCTAGAATTGAGCCTGCCACAGATGGCTTGATGGACTCTCTAGCCTGGGTTTTCATGGAGGCTGGGTTACACACAGGTGACAGCTTCACAGGTTAGCCAGGTGTTTGACCTCAGCCTCCAGGTCACCCTAAATCCTTCCCCTAAACCACAAGGATGGGCTTCCCTCCCCCCATGGCTTCAATACTTTTGGATGTAGTTAGCCCCCACTTATGAGGTGAGACCAACTACTTGCCTTTGATCAAGATACTCCCGACATTGCAGACACAGACTGTTTCCCAGAAGCCAAGGGCAAAGAGCAGACCACTCTTTGGACAAAGCCAGATAGCTTATTGTACTATGTAGTGTTTTTGAAGACTTTATTAATTTTATCTTTTGATTCCTGGCTTTTAGAAATTCAGATAATTTCCATTTCTTAGAGTCGTACAAAAGAAAACTGCAGTGAAAAAGCACTTTTGATTAATTGTAATAGATAATGTATATTTTAAAGAATTTTGATGCCTTTTAATATTTTTTCACATTTAAATTGCCATGAGGAATGTAAGAGTGTTCATTTCAGTGCTTCTTTGCCCAACCAGGTACCTAAAAAAAAAAAAAAAAATCTTAGGTGATTCCGTAGGTAAAGTATCTCACTGTTTTAATTTTCAGGTATTTATTTGTCATTGGTGAGGTTGGCTCTTGTTTACCTAACACTTTTTGCCTTTTCTTTTGTGAGTTCACGCCCTTGTTTGATGTTAAGTTAAAAATTCAAATTTCCTTAAAAACTGTTTGAAAGAAACTGTCAAATGTGTAAGATTTCAAAAGGGAGAAGTATAAAACCATCCTCAGAGACATTGAAGAAGACCTAAATAAATGGAGGAAAAACTCATGTTTATGGATTGGAAAAATCAATAGCATAAAGGAAACAAGGGGAAAGGTTTCAGCATTTTACCATTAAGTACAGTACAGTGTACTTGCTAACCCCTCATAAATACTCTATAAGACTGAAGAAATTTTTTCCTAATGTGCTAAGAGTTTACCATGAATAGGTATTGGGTTTCATTAAAATCTCCCTTCATCTCTGGAGATAATACTATGATTTCTCCTTTGCTAATATCCCTGTGTTAAACCCACCTTTATGTTTGTGGAAGAAACTTGGCTTTTTGCTGTGTGTTAGTTTCATTATACTGTCCTTGGGAGTTTTCCCAAGGACATTTATGTTCATGAGTGATATTTGCTTGTACTTTTTCTGAACATCCTTGTTGCATTTGTTATTGTAAGGTTATGTACAACTGGTAAAATGAGGAAGGAAACATTTTTTTGCATATTCTTGTTTTCTAAGAGGTTCACTCTGTGTACTTAAGGCTGGCCTTAAGCTCACTGCGGTCCACCTGCCTTAACCTCCATAGTGTTGGGATTAGAGGTATGCACCACTGTGCCCAGCTTTTCTGTGTTTTCTATACTAACAAAAAGCAACTAGAAAAGAGGAACTGGACAAGTACAGTGTCATGGAAGCAGGGAAAGTAAGTTTGAATTGAATAATGAGCATTATCCTTTTTTTTTTTTTTTTTAGTAGTACTAGGGATTGAACTCAGGGCCATGCACTTGTGAGGCAAACGCTTATTCTACTGAGATATCTCCCTGAGCCCAAGCATTATCCTTTCAAGCTCAGGTCATTTTGCCTAAATATTCACATAGAAAAATAAATTCTTGAGAAAATCCAAGGAATAGATGACTCACAAGATATCAGGACATGCTGTAAATATCCTCAGTAATTAAATCAATGTTGAATTGATAAAAGAATGGACAAAGAGGTCACACTTAAAAACTCAAATAGTTATCTCAGTTTTTATAAATATTTATTATATAACACACATGGTTCTCTTCAGGAGGAGAGGGATGGATTATTTAATCGTGAGACTGGCCCAACGGTTTTCTTTTAGAAAAAGATAAATGAATCCTGAAAGGATTTGGGGCTGAAGCATAATAACTATAGCAATAACTACTTTAAAAGAAATCACACTTACAGCGTCTGCGTGAATGTAAAATTAAAAAAAAAAATGTTAATAGAAAAAATAGTAAAAGATATGAACAGACATTTTACAGAAGATCAAATTAATTGACCAATATACTTAAGAATAGTGCTAAGTTTATTAGTCAAGGAAAGAATCAGTGCATATTGATCATTAGCAGAAAAAAAATAAAGATTCTGTTGCTAGCAGAAATAAGAGGTAAAGAGAATGCTCAGACCTTGTAGGCATTTTTTTCTCCTCTCTCTGTGTTGCTCATGTCATCTGGGGAGCAGCACATTGTGATAAGAAGTTGGGTTTATTTGCTCTTGGAACCATGTTTGGCTTTGCAGTTTCCTAGCACCCTGGCTTTCCACCATTCACAGATACTCTTGTGCCCTTATTTCCTTATTGTGAGGTGGAGCTAACCATCCTCCGCTGACTTCTTTCTTCTGGGATTATCGGAGACTGTGCATGCCAGGTCTTTGGGCCAATGCCTTGTGATGCAGAGAATATTGGGACAAGACATGAGCCTTTCAGAAATGGAGTCCAAGAACAAATTGCATAAACTATGACTTATATATGGCAAAGCCATATAATTGTAGAGATAGATTATAGTTAAGAAGGCTGTTTTCTGGCAGTATTCCGTCTGCCTTGGTTCTGTAGGCAGAGAGTAGCACTGCCCAGCAGAATTCGGCTGAGAGGAAGATGCTCTGGGGTGACAGCACCACTGGTCCTCACAGCTTCCATTGGTGTGTGTGTGTGTGTGTGTGTGTGTGTGTGTGTTTCCAACTGGCAAACTGAATTTTAATTTCATTTAACTTTAAGTAATTCATCCTACAGTTTTAATAGCCACATCTAGGTAGTGCTCTATTGACTAGGACAGAAAACTGAGGCGCCACACCTATTAAAAAATAATTTTAGGCAGATTGTAACAGGATACCAATTAAAATACAACTGAAGTATGCAGGGTTTATGGTTGCTAAGAATAAAATGATATGAAAATGTTTGGTGAGCAGAAAAATCAGAATGGAGGAACTGTTAAGAGAGAATGTTCTAATTGAGGATAGCATTCATCCAGAGAAGACTGTAGAGGCTGCTGTGCAGACTTCTTCACTGGAGGTCAGAATGCTCTGCCAGGTACTGTGCCCAGTAGCCTGGGCTCTGTCATTGCCTTCACTCCTTCCTCTGGTTATAATCTTGGCTCTGTTCTTGGCTCTGCTGAATTTCTGCCCTGGGCTTCAGTTTAATTTCCTGCAAAGTGGGCCACACATCTGCCTTCAAGGTATTTGCCTTTTCTGAAATTCTAGAAACTTAAAGAACTAGCTTTGTTCCTTGTAGGCTGCGTCCTAGAGATGTTCTTGCGTGGTGACTGGGTGATATTGATGTGAAAGGATCCTGTAGCCAGCTGTATTATCCTTTTGTCTATGCAGAGCCCCTCCGTAGGTGGCCCTGCTAAGGACTCAGACTCCTGTTTACCCCTGACTTTTGCTAGTTGGCTCTGAGCTATTTTTCAGTTGAAGAGCCAGCATTTACATTTGTGCATTTCTGCTTAGCTCACCAACAAATCAAAGTTAGATGATTAAAACAAGAAAAGTCAATTTGCAAGTTCTTGTCACTGCCATAGACTTCCTTATCATGGTTGGGTTGTTCCTATTTTTTTTCTTTTTTTAAAATTTATTTTATTTTATTTATTTATGTGTGTGTGTGTGTGTGGCCAGCTCAGCCCACCAGGGGGCGGGGCTGGCTGGCATGTGGTGCTGGGGGATTGAACCGCGGTCTCTGTGCTTTGCTAAGCTTGTTCTAAGTAGGTGCTTTAGACCACTGAGCCATCTCACCAGCCCTCCTATTTTGTTCTGTGTAAGCTAGTTGAAAATTGTCATTATTTAAGAACAAAAAAAACCAGCTTGCTGTTTTTAAATATTGACAACATTCACTCATTTTGATTTCTGTTAAAAAATGTACCTGTGTGAAAGTTTTGATAATTAACCCGTTGGGTAATAGAATACCGGAAGGGCATATCAGTACTAAAAATGTAGTTCTACATTTACTCTTTGGAAAATGTACCCCAAACTAGAAATTCTGGTTTCTATGTTCATAGATTCTTAAGTTTGAACTTGTTTGAAAGAATAAGGATAACAATTGATGTCAGTTAGATTGTAGCTTTCCCAGAAAAGTACACATGAAAAGTTGATTTAGTAATTTATAAAAGAAGAACAAATAGATTAGCTGGTAAATGAAATCAAGCATCTAAAAATGTTATTAATGTAGTGACTTTTATTTTGCCTTTTGTTTGTTTTATTTTATTGGATTATGGTTGGGAAAGATAAATTTAGAATATAAATAAGCAGAATTGATTCAAAAGGTACATGCCATGTAAGAAATAACATTTTAGCTCAGGTGAAGTAGGTATGTGAAATGGAAAATTTGGGGGAAATCCTACATTTTGGGGCTTACTACATGTCTGGGAACACAGTTTTATTTTACCATTTTTATCTGCAAAAAAAATGTGTCTTGAACTCAAGAAGCTAAAGTAGTAAACCACTTACATATCTTACTTTTTAAGAGCAAAAACTTTTGATTGTTGCTGTATATTCTCCTGAATGTTTATGTATCTTTTTTTGCTTGTTTTTGATAGAGTCCAGTGAAGATAAATCAGATTAGCCTGGATGAAAGTGGAGAACACATGGGCGTGTGTTCAGAGGACGGCAAGGTATGGCATTAGGAATAGCGGAGGTCTCTGGCCCTGAGTGCTGGTGGCCTTGCCTGAGCCCAGGTGCTCTGGCGTACACTCCATGTGCTATATACCTGCATTAGGGAGGGCCCCGGTTATTCCTTCGGAGTATTAGACTTGCTTCTGATTGTTCATAATTAAAGTAAAATTCATTTTGCACAAATGTGCCTTAGGAAAAGTAATTACAAGAATGTCAATAAGGTAAGTAGTATTAAGCTGATTAACAGCTGTGGCAGGGTGTTGTGTCACCTTAATCATTACTGCTCTGCCACTTATACTTCAGTGACTGCTCTGCAGTTCCTGCAAGACAGTAGTTTAATGCCTTTCTGCCATAAATCCACAAAATTGGATTTCGTGGCATGATTTCTGTGGGCTAGTAGTTTTCATTTTCACACACAAGTTATGAATGTTTCTCTTGAATTATAGAATCTTTTGATAAGCAATCATAGTTTATCAGAAGAATAAAGTGTCTTACAATGGCCACATTAAATAAATGTAAAATCAATATATGTACAGTTTTCTAAAAACCTGGCACCTACTTCCTCGACTGAGGACATATGTCATTGGTGCAGTGTATAACTAACAATTATCAGTGCTTTTTGCTGATGTTGAGCTGTGACATTTAGTGGTTGTGGTGATTGATTTTCTACTTATAAGAATGTCTTTTTTGTTTTTAACTAGATGGGAGTGTTTTCTAATGTTGGTTTGCAATGTAAAATTGTAATGTACTGTGTATTTAAACTGCTTCTCTAAAATAACAGTTTAAGAGAATACATTAAAAATCATTGTAGGAGCTTATATATTCCTTATTGAAAAGAGATTTCCTAATCTAATTTTGTATTTTTTATAATGTGCTTTAAGTTCAATGGGCCATTAAGATAAGTAAATTAAAAACAGTATACTGAATGTAAAGGAGATAAAGCCATTTGTATCTGTTTGGAGTGTTATACCCATTAGTCTGTTAACAAAAGCAACATGAAGTCCTTTTGACATACAAGAATGTTTTTTATATATCTAAGCCTGATGTTACCCAAAGAGTCTTTTGAAACAGTAATTGGAACACTAGCACTCTTCAGAAAGCACCGTCAAATTTTGTGAAATTCTGAGATGAGCACAATTGTCAAAGAGAGAAGAGACGGGAGTCAGTTTGTACAGAAATTGAAGGGCATCATCCACACTATGAGATTTTTTGTTCATGTATTTGTCAAGAAAGTTAATCTCCTTTTTCTTAAAGGTGACGAGTTCCTTCCTGGCAGTTACCAACTTAATTTAAATTTGTTGAAAGGGAATATTTTTTGAATTAGAAGCAAGTTCTTACTAATGCATTTTAGGAATTTTCAGAGTTTGAAATATTAAAGAATTTTTTCTAAAGTATCAAAGTAGAACATTTTACCTCAATCTCCTGGTGTGTAATGAGATGGACCAGAGATAGCTCATGGTACTTTTTGGCAAACATCGCTGTTTTTCCTATTTTAGTAAGATTTATAATCACTGTATTTTCATGTAAATCCATGATATATTTTGAAAAATGGGTGTGTCATATATTATATTGCATTAATAGCACAGAAAATAATTCTTGCAGCACTCATATTCATGTAAGTCCACCAGCGCCTTCCATAGACTAGCTAGCCAGTGTCCTGAACGTTGAGAAGCTGATGTGAATACAGTACTCGGTGGCTACCGATGATAAAAACAGAGAGATATTTATGGAGATAAACTCCAAGTACCCTGTTCTAATGCATTTTTAAATCACTGTTGTAGTTTTTTGTTTTCTTTAGTGTGTTAAGCCTCCTAGGCAAATAATTATTTATCTTTACTTTAGAGATGACCTTTGATATTTGCATTCGTTTTGAATATTGGTTAGAATTTATTCTGGTTCTTCAACTGGTGCTCATTTCTGCTCTCTTATGGCTTCTTTATGCTTGAGATCTAAATTGTGTGTGTTGTGTATATCTACATGGAGGTTGTTTGATCTTTCTGTCATGTATTTACAGGTAACTTTCAGCATAAGTACATGCAGCATTTATTTTCTCTTCTCTTGCTTTCATATAGAAATCAGAGTCTAGTATGAAATTCTGGGTGGAATGTTTTTCTCAAAATTCTGGAGATGTCGTTGTCTTTTTCTGTAATGCTTTGTAGCCATGTCTGAGGCCGTCAACTTTTTTTTTTAAAATAGCCTTTATTTTTTTAATCCTGGCTTGCAGCTTGGACTGATGATGGTGATGATGATGATGATGATGATGATGATGATGATGATGATGATGATGATGATGATGATGATGATGATAAACAGCAACAATAACTGGTCCTTGTAATTCATTTTGGTATGTTATGTCTAGTTCTGGTCTTTTTCATTAATTTTATCTGGAACACTGTAAGTGCTTTTGATCCATATACCAAACAATTCTTTTTCATTTTAAGAATGAAAATTATAACTTCAGTTATAATTTGGATTATTACTTTAGTTCCATTTGTTTTCATTTCTTCAGAGAAATTCAATAAAACAAGGCTGGAGGCAGTCTTGTTTAGCCTAGAGCATAGCTCTGTGTTGCCCCTCTTGGGGCTGCACAAGTTCCCACCCTCTGCCCTGAGGTGGGCATGGGCCTGGCCTCCCCAGCCTGCCCTCCCTTCAGCCAGGCAGTGGGCACATGGTGGGGGCCTGCGTAGGAGGGCAAGCGTGCATTCAGCTACACCTTAACCTCTTGTATTGCTGGCCACTTATTTCCTAGCCCACTGTAGCCCGCCCCTTCCCCTCTCCCGGTGTTGTGCCTGAACTTACCCACCTCACAACACGAGCGGGGGAATGCACAGTATTTTCCCTTCTCTTGAAAATACATAGGGTTTGAGAAAAACTAGTTAAATTGTGTAACACCTTTCCCATATGCGCTTTGCTCACTCATTGCTTCTTTTTCTTTGACTCATCTTTTTATTTATTTTTATTTTTATCACTGCCTGTTTATAGTACATAATGATCATAGTTCTTATGGGGAGTTGGCATGTTTGTAACACATCTCCTTTTTTTTTTTTTTTTTTTTTTTTTTGTACTGGGGATCTAACTTGTGACCTTGCGCTTGCCAGGCAGGCACTTATGCCTCTGAACTATCTCCATGGTCCTCACATTTAAATTCTTTTTCATCCACTTCCCTTCCCTCCTCTATCTCTTGGGCCCCTTTACTTTTGCAAAAAAATCTACCGGTTTCATATTAATTCTGTTATTTCCTCATAGTTATGGACGGTTTCTACTTGTTTATTCCCTTTGCTGATTTGCTTTTGTTTTAATGTCGATTTTATTCTTAGTGCTTGGTGAGATAGATTTTTATCCTATTTACATTTTTAATTTCCAAAAAGAAAATTTCTTCCAAATCTATTTTAATATTACAGTGAAACCAGTTTGGTTTTTATAACATATTGTATTCCTTGCAATATCAGGCAGTACAGTTTCATGGTTAGGAATAGAATTATACCAGCGATGAATATTAACTCATGTTTACTAAGAACTGCTTAGGTCTTGTTCCCTTTTCTGTTGACTATTCTTTCTACTGCACTATTGCATCTATAATAATAATAATGATAATAATAATAGTAATAATAATAATAGAAATTTTTAAAGAGGCATTTATTCTGAGCAGTTCAGACTTTAATTTTCACATTAGATCTGCCCTGGTACTCCTTGCTCACGTGATAGCTGCTGTCAGATATTTGAGGATCCTTTGTTTGCATCTTATATTCTTCTTTACACTCCTCCTAATGATCATCTAGACCCTGTCTGTTAGCAGAAGAATTATTATTTTTATTAATTCTTTATGTATTTATTTGGTACAAGGCTTCGCTATGCAGCTCAGACTTATTGTGATCCTCCTATCTCAGCTTCCCCAGCATTGAAATTATAAGCGTGTGCACCATACTTGGTTTTGGTGGCCATCTTGGTGCCCAGGGCTGGCATGGCATGTGGTACTGGTGATTGAACCTGCTCTTTGTGCTTGTCAGGCAGGTGCCTAGACCACCGAGCTGTCTCCCAAGCCAGTTTGCCCATTTAAAGGAGTCATCTGTTTTTTCTTTTTTAATTATTTGGTTACTGCAGGGTCTCACTACACAGCTCAGACTCATAGTGATCCTCCTGTTCTCAGCCTCCCCGGTGCTGGGATGACAGGTGTGTACCACCACACCAGGACTCTTTGGCCAGCTCAACCCAACCTGGTGGCTGGGCTGTTGCAGCATGTGGTGCTTGGGTTAAACCACAGTCTCTGGGCTTACCTAAGCTTGCCTAAGCAAGTGCTTTAGTCTGCTGAGCTATCTTGCTGGCACCCCCATCTGTTTCATTTTTGACTTTTATTTTAGAGTTACCTTCACTCAGATTTATTTATTTATATTTATTTATTTATTTTCAAATCTAGACATGAGCAACTTTCCCTGTGGTTTTTCTAGTATTTCAGGCTTTTGGATATTGTGAATTAATCATTGTGTTTTTGTTGTTCTTTCTCTTCTTATATTTTACATGAAAAGATACCTTTTTATTTGCAAATGTTAGGCTATTTAATATAAACACATCACATGGAAGTGATGTCTGCCATGTAGAATGGACATTGGAGTATTTGGGTTCTGGTCCCCAAGTCTCGCACAAGCCCCCAGATTCCCGTGCAGTCAGTGGTGTTTGCGCTCATCCTTAGCAGTGCTGCTGTGAGGAGAACCAAATGAGGGCCTGCCTACGTTTTGTCAGTCCCTTGTGGGCGTTTAGCAGTACCACTTTCTCCCACCAGAAAGTTGTATTTAATTTGGGGAAGGCAGGATGCAGTCATTGCTGTCCAAGGATTTCATCTGTATAATCAGATTAAAAAATAGCTGAGGTAAAGCAGGGTGGGCATTGTGAGAGAGGAGTTAGTGCTCGTCTAGCATTTGACCAGGACCATGTTAGTTCAGGAGTGTGTTGTTGATTGCTTCCAGTAAGATTCAGATGGCACAGGACTTCCTCACTTTGGTCCACTTTTCTCAGCTGTGTTGGGATCTACTGTAGTAAACATCCCTCATGGTGCAGTGCTTCCCTGTCTTGCCTTAAGCCTCACCTACAGAAGTGCAATATGCCCTGTGATTCTCCCTAAATAGAAGAGTCATGATGTTCTACACTCTGCACAGTGAGCCTGCCTCAGGGTAGTGATAGAGCCATGTCCAGAATACATTCTAAGATGCTATCTCAGGATAAATCATATTCCCTCTGTGTTGTCTCCTCTAGTGGAACCCAGGGTACATACTTGGGTAGTTGCAAAATAGGTGGAACATCCTAAAGGTTTTATTTTATAAGGGCCGGCCAGATAGCTTAGCGGACTAAAGCGCCTGCTTAGGAAGAGCGCAGTAGCCAGGGTTCGATCACTGGTGTGCCCTACTGGCCCCGCCCCCAGGGTGTACTGAGGCAGCAAATGAGACTGGGCATGGTGGCACACACTTGTAATCCCAGCGCTTGGGAGGGAGGCTGAAAACAGAATCACTGCGAGTCTGTACATAGTGAGACCCTGTCGGCCCTATACTAAATACATTAATTAAAAAAAAAAAAAAAAAAAAAAAGATTTTGTCTCCTAATTCATGAATATCTCTGAATGATAACGTGAATTCATTTTCTGCTTGGGTCTTAAAAGAAGGAATCATTCAGAACTTACCAGTATTGAAGCAAGAAGAAAGTGAGGACTGTCCTCTGTCTATGTAGTAAATTGAATTTATAATTTAAAACCTCATGGAAAAAATTCTCACTTAACCTGTGTGTGCTGCTCTAGCAAACTTTTAAACAACAGAAGTTTATTTCTGATAGTTCTGGAGGCTGGGAAGACCCAGAGGGAAGGCACTAGCATTTAGTGTCTGGAGAGGAGGACTCTTCTGCTCCCCAGTTGGCACCTTTCACTGTCCTCATGTGGCAGGAGGACAAATGCTGTGTCTTTACAGTGGTGAAGCACTAGTTCTCAGATCTCTTTTGTAAAGCACTGATAGCCTACACACAAGGAGAAAACCCTCCTAAAAGCCCTGCCTCTTAAAACATCACCTTGGGAATTAGGTTTCAACATGGGAATTTGGGGGACACAAACATGTAGAGCATGGCAAAGCCATTAGATGAATTTCTACAAAATTTAAAGAAGGAATAAGATAAGCATGTCTACTGTCACCATTCCTGTTCAGTTTCATATTAAAAAAGTTAACCAAGGCAAGCAGACTAGAAAAAGATAAAAGGGATATGCATAGAAAAAGAAGAAGTCAAATTATGGTTATTTGCAAATGACATGATCCTCTATATAAAGACCCAAAGGATTTCACCAAAAGATTCCTAGAATAACCAAATTCGGTAGTGGTCCATGATACAGAATCAACACAAAAAAATCAATAATTGTACACCATTGTTGAAGTACAGCTCTACTCTATACCAGTGATGATCTCACAGAGAAAGAAATTAGGAAACACTACCATTCGTAGTAGCATCAAGAAAAATTAGACACTTAGAATGAACCTAACCAAGAAAGTGAAAGGCCTCTACAATGAAAACTACTGTACTCTGAAAAAAGAAATTAAAGTATATCAGAAAATGGAAAGATATCCCTTGTTACTGGATAGGCATAACCAATATAATCAAAATGACCATACTTCCAAAACCAATATATAGATTAAATGCAATCCCAATCAAAATACCAACAATATTCCTCACTGAGCTAGAGAAAACAATCCTAAAATTCATATGGAACCAGAAGAGACCCAGAATTCCAAAACCAGTTATGGGCAGCAAAGCAAGGTAGGAGGCATCACAATTTTGGACCTAAGTTATGGTACAAAGCTACAGTAAAAACAACATGTGGATCAATGGAATAGAATAGAGAATGCACAACTTGCCCCAGGCACATTCAGCTGTCTGATCTTTATCAAAAAGGCCAAAACCATACACTGAAGAAAAGATAACTTGTTTAATAAATGATCTTGGGAACACTGCCTATCCACTTGCAGAAGATTGAATCTAGGCCAAAATATCTCACCTTGTGGTGAACTAAAATGGAAATGGGTCAAAGTTCTAAATGTTAAAGCAGAAACATTTAATCTTCTGTAAGATACATGAAAACAGAAATGTAGCTAATAACTTTTTTTAGCACAACCCCAGTTACAGAAGCACCAAGAATCAACAAATGAAATCATGTTAAATTAAGAACTTCTATATAGCAAGAGAAGCAGCCAATAGAAGGAAGAGACAAGCTAAAGAATAGGCAAGCATTTATGCTAGTTACTTCTTAGAGGACTAATATCTAGAATATATAAAGAACTCAGTATTAGACCCACCAAAATAAAAGACCTAATCCAAAACATGGACAACTGCAATGAATGAATATTTCACAGAAGAAGTGCAAATGGCCAATAAATACATGAAAAATGCTAAACATCACTGGTCATTCAAATGCAAATTGAAACAACACAGATTTCATCTTACTATAGAAAGAATGTCCATCATCAAGAAATGAAATAATAACAAGTACTGAGGAGGCTGTGAGGAAAAAAGAATCCTTCTGCATTGTTGGTGAGAAGGTAAACTAGTGCAACCTCTGTAGAGATCAGTGCAGAGATTCCTCAAAAAACTGAAACAAACTAGAAATTCTGTCCAACCTAGCTTTTTCCCTTCTAGGTATCTTATTGCAATATGCTTAAAGGCACCATATTATAGGGATGCTTGTGTGTCCATGTTTTATAGCAGCACATTTCACAGTAGTGAAATGTTGAAGCCTCTCCATTGAAAGATGAAGGGGTAAAGCGAATGTGGTGCTTACACATAGTGGAGTACTGCTCTGCCTTAAAGAAGATAACCTTTTGCAGGAAAATGGATTAGCCCTGAGATCATAATGTGAAGTGAAATAAATCAACCACACACTTAAACACTGCATGTCTTCCCTTATATGAGAAACCCATACTATGAATAGAGAGTAACAGTGACAGTAGATAATAGTAAATAGGGCAATAGATCTTTTGTAAATGGGAAAGGGCCCAAAGATAGAAGGTGGGGTAGAGAAGAGAGATGAAGGGATGAACAAAAGAAAGAAGATGTCTTACACTCATATGAGAAGTCACAGCAAGGTATGCCATCACTGTGTACTGCAAACTTGGACTGATAAAACAATTTTTAAAAGTTAAAGAAGTAGTGACATTATTTTAGAGACTAGGAAAAGTATGAACACATCCCATAAACTGGGAAGTGGTTGCCAGTGACTCTAAATCTAACAGCTCCATGTCTTTGACAATATCTGTAGTTCTCATGCCCTGCTGCTGAAAGGATAGGTTAATTCAGCCATTCTATGAAGTGATTTAGTTACCTAAATGTGAACATGTGAATTAGCATTTCCATCCCTCATTAATGCCCCCTTCATAAGTGTATGTAAAGATCTGTAAGGGATGTTTATGGTAGAAATGTTCTTAATGGCCACTATCTGAAAGCAAGCCAAATGGTCACCAGTGCAGGAAACATGTGGATTGTGAGTGTGTGTGTGTTGTATTCTACATAGCAGTGACAAAAGAACCAGCTAGTGCTGTAAGCAGCAGTGTGGGTAGATCTCACAAGGAAAATGGAGCTTGAAGAAGCCAGTAAAGTAGGGTATAGACATCCTTGCTTAATGACCCAGTTATGGCCCTGGGACTAGGTTGTATGAATTGGTCACTAAATAAAGACTATAATAGGTATGTTATAATATTCAAAACAAAGAAATGATCAAAACAAACTGAAGCTGGAAAAGTTTGGTTTTATTTGTGTAACTGTTAACATGCAGTACTGTAATGTATAACAGAACATAAAACTATAAGACTCTATAGTATAATTAGCAAAAACTACAGTACTGTGGATAGCACCACAAGGCCACACTGCTGCTCATGATCTTGTGTCTTAAGTCCATCTGGCAGGATAGACTAAGAAGTCTGAGTAGTGCACCTGGGCTGTCAGTCAGAACAGTGGTTGACCAGGAAGGTCACTAAATGAGGACTGTCTGTAATTCCACCCCTATAAAATGCAGGTATCAGTGTGACTTAATGTGTGGTGATAGATTCTAGGGCCATGGTTAGCTTGAGGGTGCTGTTGACTGGAAGTGGGCACAGACGGGTTCCTTGGGTTTTATTTCTAGGTGGTTGGAGGGTTTTAAGCCTGTGCCATTAAAAATGTGTCAAGGTGTAGATTGATGATTTATATCCTTTAAAGTGTGGATTATACCTTTTTTATTGTCATTGTTAATTAAAGGACTCAGAAAATGACAAATATGAATAAAGCAGCCTGAAACAACTTTAAGGTAGCCACTGATGGGTAGGAACTTAAATTTTTCACTTACATACTCTAAATAGATTCAGCCTAAGATTGTAAATGAAGTTCATTTCACCTAATCTCTCACCACATTGATCTGTGTGGCTGATTTATGTTTATTTGACTTCAAGAAAGAAACTCTTTTCCTTAAGGGATGAAGAAATAGTTCCTTTAGGACAGCCCATGGGAAGTTAATAAAAGAATATTAATAACCTGTTCATATCTATTCCATTTTTGAATGTTGGCCTCCATTTAATAAAACAAATGTGTGGTGAGTGGAGGGAATTATGTCCAGGGGATTTTTGTGCAAGCTTAATTGCAGTGGGACACCCTCCCCTGGAATTGTTTTCACCAGGTATTTAATAGTGGCTGTAGCACCCTGGATCATTCAGCGTTCTACTTTGCTTTATTTTTACCCTTGGAAGTTTCCTCTCACTGACTCAGGAAACCTTTATGTCCTATCATGTGAGCTAATACAATCTGTTTACCTTTTTAGGTGCAGGTGTTCGGACTATATTCTGGAGAAGAATTTCATGAGACTTTTGACTGTCCCATTAAAGTAAGTCTTTTTTTTTTTTCAATTAAGGTAGTAAAGACTACTGTATTAACGTCAGTAAGCATCAGTTCTGCTCCTACAAAGGAGGTATGTATATGACGAGACTATATCAGGGGGTGTTTATAATAGTGGATGAGATCACACCCACATGTATGCTCATGCACACTGATTAAGAGGCTCAGGTAAAAATGATACGAAAGACTACAAAACTGAAAGAAGTTTTAGTGATGGCTTCATGTGTGGAGTGATATTTGACTGATATTTGACTGGCCTGGTCAGTGGACAGGTACATGGCGAAGCTGGCTTTCCACGTGAATAAATAGCATGATAAAAACAGAGAAGCTGGAAAGTTCCAACTGTTGAGGGAGTGGCAGATAGCAAATAGTCTAGCTTAGGTGGTGCATCAAAGACTAATTTGGTAAGAGAGCTATACAGGCAGACTGGACAAGAGGCAGGAAGACCAATTTTTGCTAACAGTTATAGGTAGGTATATATTGTACTTGTTAAAGGATGAGGTCATTTATTTTTTTCCACTTGTTTATTTAAACCTTATTGACCAATAGGTACAGGAGAGATAAGATCTGACATGTGTTTTAGAAAGCTGAATTTGCCAGAATGGAGGGTGATTTAAGTCAGAGCACATTTGGGGACAACCAGCAATATAAAGGCTTATGCAGTACTCTAAGCATAACAGCAGGAACTCAGAGAAGAGCAATTGTGAGTATTCAAGAAGTGTTGAAGTGGTTAATTTAGACTTCTTGTAGGAATATCCTTTCTGCCTTCAGTAATGCCAAGAGCAGCGTGATCAGAGGCAGAGGAGCTGGAGTAAGTATAGGGTCTTGTTCTGGTGATGTGAGGGACCATGAGTTGGAGTAAGGAACAGTTTGAGTCAACAAGATGCTAGTTAGCTCTTTTCTTTATCTGTAGGACATCAGGCGGAGATGTTACAGGATTTTGGAGACAGGAATATAAACCTCAGGCCAGAGATTAAACACGGGATAGGTAACTCCATTTGAGTAAGATGAAGCCATTTTGAGGAATCATCCAATTACAGTCATAGAGTGAGATCAGAGTACTGGTGTTGAAAGGCAGAGCACTCTAAAGACTCAGGCAGCAGAGGACCAGCAGCAAAGTCACAGTCTGAAAAATGGCAGGTAGAAGGAAATCCAGAAGAGTGGTGCCACAGATGTCACAGGAGAGGCTTTCCAGAGGGAAGATGAGGGCTGTGGTGTCAGAGGGGTCATGGAGAGTAACTGGTGGGAAGACTGGGTCAGGGCTGTATTTTTGTTTTGTTTTGGTTTGCTTTGGTCTTGTTCTGGTCACAGTAAAGTTCCTGATAAGCATAGAAAGAATCGCTTTCACAGTAAATTGGAGACAAGGGAGTCAAAACATCCAGTAAAAACTTTGCTTGCAAGGACTTTGGAAATAACCGTGATGGATCACCTGGGAGAGTGCAGGGGCAGCATTCAGGGAAGACTGGAGGTCATATTTTGGTTGAAAGTAAAAGCAATGGATGCAGAGATTAAAGGAGGAGGAGGGGTTTCTTCTTGAAGCAGTATGAGGCAGTGGGGTGAGCAGCCAGGGAGGGAGGTGACTCAGCCCTCTGCCTGGCAGACATTGCAGAGTTGTCAGGGAAGGGGGAACAGTCCATGGCAGTAGCTCTGATGGTTTTCGGTTCTTATGTATTTTTAAGGGGCAGAGATACCTATCGTGGTCTGTAAGGAAGCCAGAAGGACTCTTTTGTTTTGGTGGTATTAGAGATTGAATTTAGGACCTCTAGTATGTTAGGCAAGTACTCTATCATGAGCTGCATTCCTAGCTCTTTATTTTTTAAATTTTTAAATTGTTTTTGGAGGCAGGATCTCTGTATGTAGTGCAGGCTGACCTTGAACTCATTTATGTAGCCCAAGCTGGCCTCAGACTCATGAAGATCTTCCTACCTCTGCCTCCAGAGTGCTGGAATCACAGGCACTTGCCACCATGCCTGACTATTTTGAGACAGGGCCTCACCGAGTTGCCTAGGCTTGTGTAGAAGTGCCACCCTCCTGCCTCCACCTTCCCTGATAGCTGAGATTATGGGTGTGCACTATCATGCCTGGCTAGAAGGACTCTTCTGAGACATTTTAAGGCTGTCTAAATGAATTTGTATTGATATTTAAGGTCAATAAACAGAGTTGAGTTTTAGCCACCCTACGAAGTATAAGTAGTTAGAAAAATAAAGGGTCTTGTGCTAAGCCCTAGAAATGACAGTATAAGAGAACTCTGTCAACCTACCCATTAGAGGAGGTGTATTAGTTCATTAATAAGAACATAAAATGTATTTAATTGAAGGTTAGGAAAACCCAAAATTTGTTAATTTTAATGCTGATTTTTATGGGTAATTTGGAGGTAAAAGGTAAGAAAACAATATGGAGGGATTATGGCTGTGACAGATGAGGCTTGAATTAAAACTGTGCTGATTGGAGACACTAGAACCCTACTGCTGCCTTTGTCCCTACTCAGCACAACCATGCACCATCATGGTATGGCACAGTCATAAAGCCACGGGCCATCCCAGGGGTGGTGGAGCAGCCTTGGACAAAGCTGTGTACGGGGTCTATGGGAGCCTGAGTGAGATCAGTTGGGACTGTGGAGGCGAGAACTCTGATTATAGGGAGAAGGGAGAATGACCAACCCAGCGGCCGGGCCCAGTGTTCTGATGTGAGGTCTCGGTGTCACCCCAGATGGCCTGCAAACTGCATGACCTCATCTCTTCCCTTTGATGCCATCTGTCATTGACAGTGAACAGATAGTTCTGGTGTCTGGAGTTTTGACCATTCTTGTCTGTTGCCTTGGTAGAGCAGTGTGTGCTCAGAGGAGTCAGCTCTCAGCCAGGAACTGGGAGGAATCCCTGTTAGCCCCGGAGCTGTGACTTAGTTCGCTTTGGGAACACATTTTTTCACAGGAGAGCAAGGCTTATGTCCTCAGTTGCAGAATTTTCTGTGCATACAGTTGTGGGAGGCACAATAACTCCAGGCCTCCAATCCTATTGCAAGTGGGTTTCCAGGTTCCTCCTCCCCTACCTCTGATGAGCTAGGTTCCTAGTTCTTACCTCGCCTATTTCCCATAAGTCTCCTGCTATGCCCAGGAGGTGGGACTTCCTGTCATAGCCCGGTTGCCTAGTTACTTGCGCCTTTTACCCTCTGACGTCATTTTCCTATGCCTTTACTATATATACCCAGCACCTCCCCTAAATAAAGCGAGACTTGATCAAAATCCTGTCTTGTCTCCATTCTTCACGTCTCCTGTCCTTTGTCCCCTCTTCAATTCCCTGCTACTCCCCTAGGTGACCTTCGTTGACTGATCCGCTGGTTCAGGACATACAGTTCTTCTTACCAACTCAGCAGGGTAGTTTTTATGCTGCTTGTAACATAGTCATTCAGTTGACTGTGACTTTGAAACCAGTCTTAGCTTCTTTTTTTTTCTTGTAGATCATTGCTGTGCACCCACACTTTGTGAGATCCAGTTGCAAGCAGTTTGTGACCGGAGGGAAGAAGGTAAATGTGTGTCCCCCTTGAGGTGTGCCTGGGTGTTCCACTGGCACTGTGATTTATCCTTAGTGTTTTTAATGTCTGAATACTATTCTGTAGAAACAGTCTTGAATGTGATCAAATTATAAGACTGTTACCTCTTGGTGGAGTTGAGGCCTGTGTCTTTTTCTGCCTTCATTTGAAGGAGGTATGTGGCAAGAAAAAGAAATTTTACACCAAGTACCACTTGGAGATTTGAAATTTGGTCCCTTCCACAGAAACAAGAGGCAGGGGGGAAGTTAATACCTTTTTCCCTTTGTAGAATAGCTCTTGCAAACTTTGATAAAATTTTAGGACTGTTTGGGCTAGTCTTTATTGCTGTGTTCCTGATACATTTTATTATCTTAGTGAACATTTTAAAAAATGAGAGTGAAATGTTTCTCCTATATATGAACATCCTTCTGTTTATGTAGTAAATTTTCAAATGAAAGAATCTGCTGATATTTTTTTTTTTTTTAATTAACCAGAGATTTATTTTGTTTATTTATTTTTTTTGGTGGAACCGGGGATTGAACTCAGGTCCTTGCGCTTGCCAGGGAAGCGCTTATTCCACTGAGCCATCTCCCCAGCCCCCAGAGATTTATTTTTAAACAAGTTTTTGTAACAAAACACTATCACTGTCACCATCCTGGAATTATAAATATTGTTTCATATTCAGGTTTGAGCCAGTAGAAAAGCAGTAGTCTGTGATTATTTTTCTAGTAATGTAATGCTCTGAGATGACCACTTAGAGGCTCTGTGGCTGAAGTTGGTTTGAATATTTTATGATAGTTGTCTGTCTTTTTCTCACAATCTGGTAGTGCATAGGGAGATGGGTCAGGAAAGGACACTGGTCATTTCCTAAGTCATTGTCATGGCTATATGGCGCATCTGGGCCTCTTATTCCATTGTATAGCACAAAGCCAAGCTTGCACCAGAGTGGACTTTTGCTTAAGAGTTGGTGCCTCTTCTCTTTCCTTAGGGCCCACTGTTAATCTTGTCCCATTTGCCTTGGGTCAGAATGTCCAGGGTACTGGTGGGTGGGAATCACAAGCTTATTCTGTTGGATTTACAGCTGATCCATCCTACGAAAATAATACCTTCATCTTTGTCAACTTCAGAAGAGTAGCTTTTTAAAATTCTTATATTTCTTCAATAAATACTTTTTGGGTTAGGAATCTTTTATCCAGTGTAGCACAAATGCGCTTAAACTGTGATTTAAACTCATGGATTTTCATTGAAAACTTAGGAAAGATAAAGATTTGGTAAGTTGCTCACCTTTTTAATAGTTTGAAACAGCAAGCATTTCTTTCCTCAGCTCAAAAATTAAAGGGGTAGCTTATTGATCAGATTTGGCTGAGGATCTTTGGCTTGAGTGCAGTCAAGATACTAAGGCTGTGGTTATCAGAAGACTTGGCTAGGGCTAGAGGATCCACCATGTACTTAAAGTATTGATAAGTCACCTTGGTTTAAATATTTCCCAATGTATGATACAGTTTGAGTTCCCATTTCCAGTATCAGAAATTTTATAGTTGACCCCACTTCTTGAATATGTTAGGGAAAAAGAGATGCATTGATGTTCTGGTGGTTGAACTCAATAGAAAGGCGAGATCGTCCTTTGTTGGGTTATGTTCTTAATAATAGTACATTTGTGAAGTTTAATAATGGCTTTTATACGGGGGGGGGGAGAGAATCCTCATCAAGTTTGCCACATTAGTTTTGCTTATCTATAGGATACCTGGATTAACTGTCAGTAGCATATTCTGCATGCATCTACTTTGCATTTCACATCAGGTGTAGATACTTATAGGAAGAACGTTGTGTCTATCACAGTTTGGTCAGAACCACTTGAGGGAATTCATGAGCTTTACAGTGCAGCTGTGTAATCTGGCATCTGACTGTTGGCAAACTTGGTAGTTATGGAAAGCCAAATAAGCAGCGAAGTAAGTAGTATTCACTGAATGCTGAGCATGTGAGAACATGCAGTTAACACTAAGTGACAAGAGGGTCTGTGTTAAGGCTTGAGGAGAATTCTGACTTTTTCCTTTCTTTTTTTTTTTTTTTTTTTTTTTTTTTAAACCTATTCGGTTCTTCGTAAATATATTTGTAAACATTTCTTTGCAAGTGCAAAATATGTTTGTGTGTATACAAAATGAGATTAAATAAAAGCAATTTAGACTGTTTGATGAAAAACTGAATAAAAAGACAATATTATTAAAGTAAAATTTCTAGATTTAAATAATTTAAAAGAAAAAAGTACCCTGCAGGACTAAATATATTTTATACTAGGATCTGCATGCTGGACATGATAAAAGTACACTAGTGTGGTCATATGAAGGGGAGAATCACACAATTATACAGCCCAGTCCAGATGATGATGTCATTTTTCTTTTAGGTTTTTAGAAAGAGATTTTTAGTAGTTTTATTTGTTTATTATTTATTTTTTATTTCTTGCACTTGCCAGGCAAGCACTTATTCTACTGAGCTATCTCCCCAGCCCCTTAGTAGCTTTATTAATATATAATTTATGTGCCATAAAGTGCCCTATTTAAACTGTTTCAGTCAGTGGTTTGTAGTAAATTGATAGTGCCACACAGGCATCAATTAATTTTAAAACATTTTCATATCCCTGAAAAGAAACCTGATAGCACTTAGCTGTCAGTGATCTTCCTTCCCTCCTTGCATCCCTAGCCAATAGAAAATGTAGTTTCTTTATAATTTTGCCTGTGTGTGGTTACTTCATATAAATCCTGGATAGTCCATATAAATTGAATCATATAATATGTGGCTTTTCTGTCTGACTTCTTTCATTAATTTTCTAGGTGCATGCATGTTTAGGACAGTAAGTATCAGTACTTCAGTTCTTTGTAAGCCCAAATATTGTAAGGCTGTATCATATTTACCTTACTTTGTCAGTTGATGGGGACTTGGGTTCTTTCCACTTTGGGCATTTATAAACAATGCTACAATGAATATGTGTATACAGCTTTTGGTAGTTGAGCTTTCATTTATCCTGAGTGTTGAAGTCTTGAGCCCTGTAGTAACTCTGTGTTTAGTACTTGGAAGTCCTGTCAGACCGCTTTCCAAAGTGACTGTACCATTTTACATTCTTGGAAGAAATATAAGAGGGTGTCAGTTTTTCCACATCCTCTCCAACATTGATTTTTGTCTTTTTGATGGTACCCATGCCAGTGCATAATAAATCATGTCACATTGTGGTTTTGGCTTTCATTTTCCTAATGACTAATGATGTTGACCATCTTTTCTTTGATGTCTTTGTTACTTGGATATCTTCTTTGGAGAAATGTCCACTCACAGTCTTCGTGGATTTTTAATTTGGTCATTGGCAGTTGTGAGCATTCTTCGTCTGTTTTGCATACATGTTTCCTGTCGTATGATTTGCAAATAATTTTCCGAACTTATGAGTTGTTCTTTATATTACTGATGCTGTCCTTTGAAGCCCTAAGGTTTTTAATTTTGATGAAGTCCCTTTTGTCCTTGTTTTTAAATGGTCATGCTATTGGTGTTTTATCTAAGAGATTATTGCCTAATGCAAGTTCATACAATGTAATGTCTCTGTTTTCTTTGAAGAGTTTTTCAGTTTTAAATTAAATTAAGTCTGATGAATTTTTAATTTATACTTGTTTCTGGTGTAAGGTAGCATTCTAGATTCACTCTCTTGCATGGGCCTGTTGTTTGTCTCTGCCTTGTCTTAGAAAAACTGTTCTCTCCCCATTGTCTTTGGCCCTTCTTGTTGGAAATCAGTTAACTGTAAATGTCTGAGTTTATCCCTATACTCATAGTTCTGTTCGTCTACATATCTCTGTTCTTGTGCCAGTGCCCCTTTTAGATTTTAGAGCCCTAAATTTTTATAATGGACTTATGGAAGGACAAACAAATTAACTTCTATTCTTAAAACTCATTTATTTATTTATGTATTTATTGTATTTTTAGTGAAGGGTCTACAGGGTGTTCACTGTCTCACTACTAGATTGGACTCATAGTGATGTGCCTGTTTGTAGCCTCCCATAAGCTGGAATTACAGGTGTGCGCCACCACACACAGTGGGGGTGGCCGGCACGGCAGGCCCAGGGATGGAAGCCCCAGCCTCTATGCCTGCTTGCAGGCACTTTAATCAGCTGAGCTATTTGGTCAGCCCTCTTAAAACATTTTATCTCTTTTTTCCTTTTAAGACCCATTATAATTTCCCTAAGGGACTTTAAAGGCATATAATGTCCTCTATTTAAGGATTTTTAGTGTACAAACTGTTGATTCATTTCTTTGGCTCTCTTAAAGTTTATTATGTAGGGGTTGGGGAGATAGCTTGTAGAATAAGTGCTTGCTGGGCAAGTGCAAGGGCCTGAGTTCAATCCCTGGTTCCACCAAAAAAAATAAATAAATAAAGTTTATTATGTAAATGTGTACTTATTAGCAAGTAAAAAGCATCATTTATTTGATAAAGTATGATGACATCTTTATGTACAGTTAGTTCTAAAATGTGTACCTGTTTGAGGTGGTTTGCAGAAATAAATCGCAAGAGAATTTCTTTCTTGTTTTTTTTTCTTTTTTTTTTGGTGGAACCGGGAATTGAACTCAGGCCCTTGCACTTGCCAGGGAAGCGCTTATTCCACTGAACCATCTCCTCGGCCCTTTTCTTTCCTGTATATGGTTACAGTATATGCTTCTAAGGGTTACTTAGGCTGCATGTTTTGTGTTTTTGTTCCTGTATTTAGGACAGGGTCTACAGGGTCTTACTACATAGATTGGACTCATAGTGATTCTCTTGTTTTCAGCCTCCCAAGGACTGGGATTACAGGCAAGCGCCACAACACTCGTCTCCATCCCATCTCAGTGCGCCTGGGGGCGGGGCCAGCACAGCATGCCTGGGATCAAACCCTGGCCGATGCGCTCTGCCTAAGCACGTGCTTTAGTCTGCTGAGCTATCAGGCCAGCCCCTTTGCTGCATGGTTTTGACATTAGTGTATTCT